TCCCAGTGATCGCATCTTCATCTTCTGAACTGCTACCTGGGACTCGCCTGTTCGCTTCTATCAATAACATGCATTTTTTTCATTCGTTGTTGATGGCATTGAAAATTTTAATGTATTTTTTTGAAACCACGAACAGTAATCTACTTTTTCCAGTTGTATGACAAGGGAGCACGAAAAATTAATGTTACACTCGAAAAAGAGATATAAATAGGTTTTAAAAAGTTTTTAATTATGCGATTTTATAAGGCCGTGCAATGTACATTTATGTAGAACCGTACCTGTCCCATTACAACTGCTCGTCTTGAAATGTAAAATAGTCCGCATTCATTGCAAAATCTTGTGGACTCTATACGGTATCTTTATAAATGGATAGAAAAATACGTGATTATCTTTATGCAGAACACATGCACCTTATAGGCTGAAATCGATAAGCCGTAGGACAATGATTGATTTAGCCTCAACTTATTTGGCAGTCATAAAGCTTTTCAAAACGTTATTATACTCCTTATAATAAAGAATACGAATTTGACGTGATTTTCTACCGAACGACTGAAAGAAAACATCAGGCAGTCCATGTTTTTATAAAATATATTTGAATTTCCAAGACCACCGATGATCAGTGTGATAAATGCGTGGTTATTGTGTAATCACTTTTTACTGAGTAAGGTACCTCCAGGAGATTGAAAAGCAGTGGATTCAAGAACTGACATCCTGCCAAGTCAGAAATACTATAGCAATATATCGAAAGATAGTCAGTATTACAACTGTGCCCAAGGAATCCTTCCTAATTAAGAACTCGTTTCAAAATTTCAGTCAACATTTCATTTGATCGATCACTCACTCTATATCGGACTAGAATGTTGATCATAAGTATCCTTCTGGCAGTCCATCTTTTATGTAGATTTAAAAGTAGGCATTCGCAAACGCGAAAATGCAGAAATCAAACGGACACACCAGTTGCTAAATCGGTTTACACTATTTTGAACTGTGCAGCTATTTTTGTCAGACCGGATGAAACTTCAGGGACACTTCGTCGGCCATCGTGACCTGTTTGTAACTTTGGCTGTTGACTTTTTCATTAATGCAGACTGACGAAGTTGGCGCCCGTCAGCTAAGCTCTGGGACAGACTTAGTAAACATAGCTGGGGTGGTTACCTTTGAGGTACAAACTCATCCGGTTTGCGGTCTCCCTGTATGGACTTCTGCGATCCGTGTTGTGGAGCGCCTTTCCAGAACCAGTGTAAGTGAACGTGATCCTATCCGCTTTACTCAATGGACGAATCACCAGCTCAGTGAAAAGCAACAGACTGAACATGCACAAAAGGTTTTCTTTAAGGACTTGCGATGGCCCCGAGAATGAGCCACTCACGTGCAGGAATTTTTTTATCGCTCTTGCAAGTATGACTTCCATTACTCTAAGGTAGATGCAGATTTGTCCAAGGAGACGCAAATTATTCCATTAAGATGGGGCCGCACCCTTGTGTTTCAGGTACATACTTATAAAAGGGTATGCTTTGTACACAGGCAATGCCTAATACTATACAAGACTTGCCACTGAATTGATTTAAGTAGGTGCTGTTCAACCAAGTTTTCTATCTTGTGCCGCCTAGGGCTTGGCTTGGGCTTGCCCTACGTGTTATGTTTCATTAAGATAGCAGTCACAGGGCTATGTTGAGCGTTCGAACACATTAACGGAAAATGCTCGAATTCGGCCTAGATGACGATTTGAATTTGAACAGATTTCCTATTGCCCCTGGACTGCAGAGTTTTCCTATAAACTAGTAAACACATTTTCACCTGCGTGCTTTTAAAAAGCGCACAACCAAAATTAATTGCATATGATCAAGGCCATTTATTTAAAATTATTTGACCTTTTTTCTTCCCTACTTGGTACTTGTCGTCATTGATTATACGTGTTTACTTTCGTTATTAAGGCTTACAGCAAGTGCATCTGTGTGCCCACTACATTTAAAAATTCTAGAACCAAGAAGTTCAGTCTGGTCCCTGAATATCGTTCGTCGCTTTACAATAGAGTTATCACGGCTTTGGTTTTAAACGTGCTGTTTTAAGGAAATATAATTTCGTAGTTTTACGAATGACGAGTATGTCCCCTAATCAATGTTAGAATATGCCACTGTAAGTAGAAGAATTTGATTGATTACTTATTGCCTGATAATAGCTTGTGCGTAATGTAAACGACATATAAAGTTGGTTTGATCTATTTTGCGTCCTTTGTCACTTTACCATGAAAGAAAGCAACACATATGCACGAAATGACTTTATTTTTATTTTCAAATCCCATGAAATACATGCAAATTAAATGACGAACGAAAAAACACCACGTCAAAATTTAAGCAGATTTTTGTATCCCAAGTGCCAAATTAAAATATGACCATTTCACTTAAAAAGGAAAGTGCGCGTCAAAGTTCAAAATTGGGTTTGTTATTTTTCTCCGGCACCTGTACACGAAAATATTAGTTTGAAAAGAAGCTTTAAATTTGAACAAATTGCCCTATAGACAATTTTAAAGGGAGTTGTCATAAACACACAAAATCGTATCAAGATATTTTCTTTTCCGTTTTAGTTTGAAATCGCTTTACATATATTTAGCAACAATGATAAGTATTTTCGAAGAAAGTCAACTCAAGGTTAGTAAAAATCAAGGGCATACTTATTAAGGCAATAGGAGCGAAAACATAATGCGTGTAGACGGCTGAAGTGTCAGAAAACAAGGCTATTCATTTTAGAAAACCATTTGCACATACCCGTCCAGTCAACCGTGTATGATAAGTAAGGCATACTCGACGGGCTGACATAACAGTAGTAGTATGATACATTTCCCGTTTCCGGTCGAGTAACTTTGAGCGTGTGTTTGAAACCCTTTGGCGTCATTTCGACCTCTAAAATTAGACGAGGTGCCCATGTAAACGTCAATTTATCCATAGCAACAGCTAAAGGTTTTGGGGGAGTGGCAACCAATGCAAGTGAAAAATGAGAAAATGGTTACTACTGATGCCCCAGACACTGTAAAAAAACAAAATTAGAAATATTCTGGTAGCATGCATTTGAGACAACTGCTCATATACTTCCCCTTTCAATATTTTTAAAGTACTTAGGACAACTTCAAGACATTTTTTGCGGAATTACTACATCTAAATTTTATGCAATAATTTCACTCAGGATACGAATAACTCTGAATCGAGTTTACTTAGGTTCCTTAAGTTAATCCTTAAGTTCCTTAAGTTAATCGAGTTTCCTTTTTTAAAATCATGAATACAGATGAAAGACGTGAGTCAGCGAATGTTTTTATTATCAACTAGCATTTCAACGTCAATCTACTTTCTGACAAATGTTAGGCTGAAAATGATCTTATTTCAACTCTTGACGCAAACACTTACTGCATTTAGCCGAGTATATCATTGCTGCGATACTTTCCTTTGACATAAGATCTATTGCGGAAGAGTTTAGCTTTTCCGCCTCCAACTGCGCTTCCAATGTCGAGTTCCTTGTAGTAATGTCTATGCAGTAAAAGTCATCCGGGCCGTTGCAGCTATAATGTCCTGCAAACTTAAAAGTCATGCAAGCACAATCATATATGCACCCATAAGACAAACAGTGCATTATAGCAACAACTAGAACGGTAAACTACATGAAATCGAAACTAGGTGGATAAGATAATCTGGTGAATTGTTGGCATTTCTAGTAGGCAATTTGCATACATCATAAAATATTAATAATAAATTGTGGGTTTAGAGTAAATTCTACGGCAGATATTTGTAAGCGAATCAGACAAATACACAAATGAAATAAAGTGGCAACCCAGCATGTTTGTGACTTGACTTCCAGCCACCTCAGGGTTTTAATTTTTGTCGGATATCGCCATCATATCATTAGGGCCAAACAAAACCCAATGGCTGGTTCCGCGAGGATTCGTTTACTAGCGTCTTGGAGGACTTTCACTTGCTGTATTTCTGTTTGTATAATGTGCACCAGATCTCACGCGCTAGTAACTGCGCCACCCCTTCCGACAGAACATCCTTCGGCGATGAATGTTTGACAAAATGAAGTTGAATCCAAAAAAGTATGTAGAAACCCAAACTATGTCGTAAACTGTCTTTGATCAACTGAGAGGATGTCAAATTTACACTAAGAACTCAATAACATCAAATGCACAGACAATGGTTTCACAGGTTCATTTAGTGACTTATTGCAGTTCTTTAATTTAGGCCGCCTGGTGAAGACTGTGCTTTATATTCGCTAGGCTTAGAAAAGGGCAAACGGAGATTTGTAACTTACATCACGTCCAGAATCGGAGTATCCTTCTATGTTCCACGTAAGTTCAACTGAGTCAGCTTTCTTGGCCGCTGGGCAAAAGTGAAACTGTTGATCCTCAGAGTAAACAAATCCGTCTAAATGTTAAAAACGCAACGCTATATTAACGGCCTGCAAGGTAAATAGTTTTCCCAAGTTGACGGAAAGTAACTTACACTCATCCGGTTTGATTGTTTTTGAGGGGACGCTTTGAGCAGTAACATACTGATATCCGATGCGCGCGTAAACGTACTTTGGTTTTTTGTTTTGTTTGAACTTGATTTCTAGGCTAGAGTACCCGTCATCTGAAGGTAAGAAACATTACACTTTGAACGTAATTGATAGTAACTGGGATAATATGCATAAACAAGCTGATATAATTCAACACTTTCCCTTAAATCAGCAACTTGCTGTATACATTTTCTTTCAAAACATGACAGATTTTATTGGTTTTTGTTTAAACTCCGGCTGGATTCAAAAAATATCTTTTTTTAGGAAAACTGTAATTTCGGCATACATTTTTCCACTTTACAGGAATCCACATCGGAGAATCTTTTCTTTTCACATTTCCCATTCTCCAATGTCATTGGCACATCATTAACCTCCACTTCCTAGGATGATCAAAAATATGATATGACAAATAACAAGCTTAGTTTAGCATGTTCTCTTTACATAAGCAATATTAATGCAACGAAAAATATAATTTTCCAATTACTCAGTCAGCACTGGGTTTTAGATGAGCAGGCCTATATCTAAAAACACAATTCTTCATAGTCCATTAGAACAGACAACGATGAATTGTACAAAATACATAAATGGCAGAGAGCGGCTGTCGCAGTTAGCTAAGGTAGAACCCATTTACGTCTAGAGAAATGTGCGGACCAGTTAAAAAGAGACACCACGATCGAATGTCATTACGCGGATGCATACACTGGTAACGCATTTTATAGGCATCCGGAATAATTACTGAATTCATGAAGGAAGTAACCTGCTTTCACGTCCTACATTTGGCATGGAAACAAGTAAATAAGTCGAAGACAATTTGCACTTACCTCAACATTCTCAGGAACGGCAAGTCGAATACTCGGATATGTACCCGATAGACGGAACGCATTTTCTTCCCACTCACATATGCTGTTAGCGTTCACTCTGCTAAAAAGTAATAAATTTGTTCTTACAGATCATAAGTTGGGGCCAGGTCTGTAATGTCAACTAAAACCGTTCGAGAGCCTTTACTAACTTATCATGTGTATATAGGATAGCCTGTGAGATCACTCGTAAGTATGATATTTTGCTTCATGTAGACAAATAATTTTTTTTCAAAATGTTTTCTTTAACAAACACAATCGTATAGTTATAAGGGTTTTCAAGCAGTCAATTCAAAATATCCTCATCAGAATTCATTCCTATCTACAGTCCCTAAAGAAAATGCTTACAGCACTACAAAAAGGAGAGTGCACACCAGTGATGCAAACAAATTCTCCTTCGCCAGCATTTTCAAGTAGCCTTACTCTTGGTAGTTTGAAAGCTACTATTTATATGCGCAAAGCATAGGGCGTGAACCAAATTGAACATTTTTCGCAAAGGTAGAAAAACGGATTTAACACAATTATCCAATGACAAATAGGGATCTTGTATGTGGTTTTCTTTCGCTGTCCAAGCGCATGCAGGAGGAGAAAAGAAGTGGTTTTCCGAGCTTACTTTTTTTAGCTGAAAATGTTCCCAAAATACTCTTAATATCTCAAACGCCCGCGTACGGTCGCTGAAATGAGTGAGCACATAGGCTCCTACTCGAACACATACCGAGGTATAGTAAAAAAATGCAGTTAAAACGATAAAAACATCGCAGGCCTTGCTCATACACCAGGAATTAAATGCATTTCACGAAAAATTAATCGTCTTATATTCTGGAGCTGCAATACGTAACACTAGGTCCACATAAGCCACGAATTTGCAAAACGTTTTAGAATAGACGTGCTGATCATTATACTAGTTTAATAATAGAACATTTGCCCAAATAGTTTGCATTGGAATTATATAATTAATGCCATTTAGTGAGGAAAATAGCACATCAAAATCACACAACCTCAGCCAATGTTCTAAAGTGAGTATACAAAGCATGCGGTTATAAAAACTGATTAAATTCTTTGATACATACATTTCCATAATGTCATGCGCTATCTTCTTCTACCAGGCTGGTAAGTACCGATAAAGTCAGTAACAGCACACTTCACGTCGAAATTTTTCGGCCCGCACATCAGTTGAGGACATTGCAAAAAACAGCTGTGGTCATTGTGCTAAGCGTTTTGACTTCTGTAAAATGTATGTCTAGTATAACTGTGACCGTTGTGGAGCATAATTTCGCCAGCGCACTGTATCTAGCGTACTGATGGGAAAATCATCAAAACTCGTGTGTATTATAGTCAAACACTTAAAGCCAGATATGTCGTTTACCAGAGCCCGTATACTGTGATAGTCTTATTAATGGTAAACCTATATGGTGAGTACTCTTCAGGAACTACGTGACTTAAACATGCCAAGCAGCCAAAAATCGGCACTGATTTATGCAATTAAATGTATACAGGCGAAAATCTTTTTATACTTTTTTCACAATGTAAATAGTTGCAACTTTGATCCGCTGTTAAGGAATAATCACTGAATATAATAATGATCAACAGTCGCCGTACGCCACAAGTTTTAATATCAATAAACGTGATTTAGTTCGTGATTCTCAAAAATATTTTTCTGGAGAAAGCTTGACCGATGTGTCTGTAGTTACTCGGTTTTGCTCGAAAAATATTGTTTTTCAAAATGGATGGTTTCTTTACATCCGCTCACCTACCACCCGTTTTTTACTTTTAGAAATCTTCATATTTATTCCCTAATGAAAACTACTAGATTATCATCAGTGATAACCGATTTCGAAAATGTAGAAAAATCGTAGTTGGTTGACATATTACACGATTTAAAAATATATATTGAGATCACATAGTTTTCAGGCAGAATTAAAACTGCACCTCAATATTTTATTGAGTAAATTCAAGAATCAGCACGTTTAATGTCCCTTATATGTTAAGCGTTCATTGGTTACAAATATAAAACTAAAATATATTATAAGCCGCTTGTTGATTGCGATCGAGCTTTAGTGAATCGGATAATTTATTCTTTGAGGGGCGCACGTAAAAGAGGCGTTAAACGGACCATATATTGTACGTAAAATTAAAACAGCGCAACCTCTATTCAACTAACATAATTTACGCAGGAACTGTCGACGGATTATAATGACGACAAGTATTAACGCGCAATACATGTGAGCGAAAGTTTTTCCTAATAAGACGAAAAATGGTTTAATATAAGTAAATTGAATACTGACTATTTGATTGTCAAGCCTACTTAGTGACCTCATAACCGCTAAACGTCTTAGAATAACAAATAACAAAGTCCACGAGCATTTCTAACGGAACTAAAAAACACGCATTGGATAAAAACAGTATTTTGCATGTAATTTGAAAACGCCAGTCTCTCCCAGATTTAAGACTGTCATAGGCCGCATTTTATGGCTTGAAGTCCGCGAAAACCAAAGCATTGTGCCAACCAGGCCGGACAAAATTTGTACATTGGCAATCTTGTGAGATCATATTAAATTCTTGAAAATCGAGATAGCCGGAGACTGCACAAAGGCCGTCGAAAGTTAACAGACGGCGGTTCTCAAAGTTCTTCACAAGGAAGATGATTTATTTGACAATGAAAATACACGACTAAGATCAAGGGTCTTGGCCATACACAGAATCCGGCGCCTCCCCTAAGTCCAATCCTGGATCAGAGGGGTTTGCCTTATCACACCATAGCAAAATGGCTAGTTGAAAAGCTCAAACCACTGCAAAGTCATTTGTACTCTCTAAGTTTGAAGAACTCATTTGAGTTTGTGGAGGATGGTAACTTTGACGGACGTAGCATCACTGTTTACTTCTGTACCCCGTGGACGAAACAATAAACTACCTTGATGACGTTATCCAGGAAACTTACTACCCGTAGGGCATATCAGTGGAAACATTAAGAGAACTACTGACACATTGCACGCAATACGCCCCGTCTCTTTTCAATTAGCACTTAAACATAGAAATAGGAGGCGTAGCAATGGACTTACCGCTCGGTCCGTTCATCGCAAATGCCTTCATGTGGAAAGTAGAGATGACAAGGTTACAATATACTATTGATTGACCTTGACTTGTACCGTCGGTACGTGGATGACACAAAATACCCTTGCCCAAAAGTTTCACAGTGCACACTCCATTCTAATTTCCTCTGCAGATTTAGACGCAGACAAAGAAACCGAGTATCATTATTTTTTGTGTACACAAGAGGATGGATCGCTTAATAAGGACCCATCTTGATAGCCTCACCGAATTTCGTAAAAACGAAAACATTGTGCTAACCACGCCGGATAAGGCTACAGGATAATAGAGTACGTAGAAAAAATAGAAGCAATCTTGTCGGATCGTACCAAATTCTCTAAATCCGAGAAAGACAGGGACCGAACTGAGGCCGTTGAAGGTCAGCTGACGGCGGTTCGAACACTTCTTCACAAAGAAGGTCATTTATCTGACAAAGAATATGAGCGACTAAGACCAATGTACACGGCCATACCCAGAATGTACAGCCTCTCATAAATTCACAAACACGTGCTACCCCTACGTCTAATCCTAGATATGAGTAATTCACCCTTTCACACCATAGCACAGTGACTAGTCGAAAAGCTTAAAAAGTTGCAAAGTCAACTGTGCCCACTAGGTCTGAAGGACTCCTTCGAGTTTGTCGAGGCGATTAAGGATATTAACGTTGACGGACGGAGGATGCTATCATTAGACGTAGCATCGTTGTTTACTAATATACCCGTAGCCGGAACAATGAACTACCTTTGTGCCGTTATTCGCGACACGAACTACCCGTTAGGCATGCCTTTGGAGACGCTAAAAAAGTAGTGACACGATGCACGCAAAACGTCCAGTTTCTCTGCAATGGTCAACTGTACAGGCAAATAGACGGCGTAGCGATGGGTTCGCCGCTCGGCCTATTCTCCGCAAATGTGTTCAGGGGCAAAGTCGAGATGACAAGCTTACAAGACAGCATTAATGACCTCAGCTTCTACGGTCGGTACGTGGACGATATTTTCTGCCTGACGGATGTTACCACCGACACAGACGTCCAGATTCAAAAATTCAACCATTCACACCCCCAGCAGACAATGGAATCGCGTTCCTCGACATTCTTCTGCACAGACAAGATGATGGATCTATCCAACGTAGGATGTTCCGAAAGAAAACCTGGACGGGTCAATGCAGTTTTGCTCCCCAAAATATTAAACGCAATTTGGTCCAAAGATTGGCTGCCAAAGTGCGACGTATCTGCTCTCCGGAGAGCGTGGGGAAGCACACCACATAAACTCTAGAAAAATGGAAAGTCAGAAAGATTTGTTCTCCGAAATATAGGTGAACGCACTGCAAAGTCCACAATGGCACTTGCAGAAAAGAAATGCTTATAAGACTACCTTATTACGGGGACGCTAACAAGTGACCTTGTAAGAAGACATCCGAAGACTGTGATCACTAGCGCTTACCGCTCTGCGAATTGTCGTGTACTTTCTCCTCCTACGGCTCTCGTTGCCGTTAACATCTATGTTTATTTACTCATTCGCTTGTGCCTGTGTAGCGGGATACATTGGCCATATAAAAAGGCGCCGGGGAAAGAGAGTACATGAATACATACCGACTTGACCAGGCAGAGGCGAAAAGAAATTGATTTCGAGTTCAATTTTCGCGAACCTTGCCGATATGAATCCTCGAGTCGATGCCAAAGCAGCCTTTCAAGTTGCCGACTGGACAAAAATAAGCTACAGCCGAGGCAGCGGCTATATGGCTAGCCAATCCAGTGCTATGTCGTCAGAAGACGTTGACACAGGCGCTCTGTCTTCCGTGGCGGACACCGATTCCAGAAGATGGTTGCACTTCACCCTAACCTGCTGATGGTAGCCGTATGTGCTCAAACAAACGACTTACAAACATCATTAGCAAACTTTTGACCCCTCCCCCTCGTCCCCATGATTCAATGGCCGCAACAAATCAACCACGCCATAGCACGCCTCGCCATGCGAGCGGCGTGGCATGATGAGTGTTAATAACCCCTGAATCACTTAAAACCCCTGTAACGTCATATAATCTCAACTTAAGATTGAGTTGCAATGTCGATCGCCTCTAGGCTTTAACTTCCACACGTGAAAAAGTGTATTATTTTCTCACCATCCCAGCTGTTTTCTGGAAGATACTCAAATTTAGAAATTATCGCTTTATAATCTCCTCAGAAATTTACCACGTACTTGGAGTAGGTCAACACATTCTAGGTCGATAGGCACAGACCGAGATATTTGTGTATGAATATTTGAACCAAAATCCATCAACCATCAGCGAGTAATATACATTGACTACCGACAGGCAGTTA